GGGGTAGGTTGGCAGTATCCAAAGAAAAACGTGGCAAGAGGAGTCGGGGAGCCAGAGCGGGTTGGAATCGGGGAGCTGGAGCAGAGCGGGTTGGTGTAGGTGTGGCGGGTTAGTATTTTATAGAGACAAAACACCGCGGATTCAAATTTTTTTTTGTGTAGTCCGAGGCTGTTAGAAGAATGAAGAGAGGACGTGGCGGTATGGCAGGGCAGAAGGCCCGTATTACTCGCGGTTTGAACGTGGGTGCGTTGATAAATTGTTGTGACAATTCTGGTGCTAAGAACCTGTATGTGATTGCGGTCCATGGCACTGGTGCTCGTCTGAATCGTCTTCCTTCGGCTTCCATCGGCGATATGGTGTTGGCTACCGTGAAGAAGGGCAAGCCCGAACTCCGCAAGAAGGTGCACCCCGCTGTGATCTGCAGACAGCGCAGACCCTGGAGACGTCCCGACGGCATGTTTATTTACTTCGAGGACAACGCGGGTGTCATCGTCAACAACAAGGGTGAGATGAAGGGATCCGCCATCACTGGTCCCGTCGCTAAGGAATGCGCCGATATCTACCCCAAAATTTCTGCCGCTGCGCCTGCCATTATCTAAAAACCTTTTTAACTCCGCAACCTCCATCACTCTCAGCCGAAGAAAACCTTTTCTCGTAGCAACTATCTTGCTCTTGGCAACTATCTTGCCGTTTAATGGAGTCACTACGAGAATACACCCTGGAGTGGACCCTGATATCTGTCTTATTGACATGAGCGCCATCGGAGCACAAGAGCAAGCTTCGTGTGCTGAAACGCGCACAGAGACCTGTTAAATTGCCCCCCTAGTGAAGAAAGGCCCCAGACTAGTTTTGTCTCGCTCGGTTTTTTTAAGCTTAACTCCCCCGTTGCAATATGGCTGTCCACGTCGGAGCTCTTGAACAGCAGGTAGGCTAAACACAGTTGGCGAAGGCACATCTTCCGCGCGTGTTTGACACACATGTTCACATGTTGCTCGCTGATGCGGTGGGTGTTGTGGACGGTGTTCTCCACCACACCGCGTGCGCAAGACTGCCACCACACGCGTGTGTTACTACACGTGT